ATTAATCTGTAAAATATAATCTGCTTCATTCCTCTGATTTCATGTGTTCTTATGTTCAATCTTTCATCCTTAATGTTTCTGAGTAAATGTAATATTTCAGGCTGAGCACCCATGTGCCGTCCTCTTTGTTGACCTTTTTTAAAGTCTCCATGCTTCCACTAATAACCCCTGTTTAACATCACATTGCTATGAATTGTGGGTAATTCCCTTGGGCAAAGCCTGCAGCAATGCAGACTTACGGAAAGGGTTCATAAAGAGCTCAAAGTGTCTGCGAGAGGGACCTCCAACACCCAACGATTTGACAGTGGGACAGCCCTAAATTGGGATTGGGCCTAGTTTAATTATTAGCTGTGAATTCAGATCCTGAGCAGTAAATCGCATTGTTCGGAACGATAAGGAGCGTGTTTGATTGTCAGGAAATATGAATAACTAAATTATTGACATCAATAGAATTATTAATGTCAGTAAGATTATTAACAATTATTAATAATGGGGCACCACCCTGCGAACAGGGACAAATAACTACACTATAAGTTAAGTCTCATAATTAATATTCACTCACAATGTCAACAGTCAAAGTACTATTGGACATTCAGAGTGAACAGTGAAGGTTTTGAATTCGAGCACAGACCACGTATCCAGTTATTATAACAATACACTTGCACAAAGTAATCACAGAAAGCTGTTCTTTAAAGTATAACAGAGTTTATTCAATTCTGATAACATTGATCAAAATCAAATAGTATCTAAAACTAACAACTACTACTATACAATCATGAGCTACTATCTAAAATCAACAAAACAATTCTGTGTGTGTGTGTATGCGCATGCATGTGGTTGTGTGTGTGTGTGGGAGAAGCCAGACACTACTCAGACAATGGCGGATGTAATTTATAGCGTGGCGTGCCACGTGGGACTACAAAATGGAAGATAGCAGGGACTATCAAAATGGAGGGGATAGTCTTGCACGTGGCCACGCGAGACTACAAAATGGCACGAGACTCCAAATGGAGAGAGACAATAGAGATTGCGCAATAGGGATTGCGTTATCTACACGTGTCTGAGGTAGTTAGCTCAACCAGCATATGCATGTAGCTATGTGTGTGTGTGTGTGTGTGTGTGTGTGTTAGTAGAAGAACAGAGAAAGCAAACAAAACAAAATAAATCCTCCAAAACAAAGCAGATCCTCACCACTGCCGTAAGACACGGAGATCGTGACTTATCACACAGAAGTCCGGCAGATGAGCTTAAGTCCGACCAACCGTTATTCGGGTTGTTTACTGATAAGATCACGATAACAAGCAGTATGGAATACACAGTAATTTCTACACAACATTAACGATCTCGGTCGTTAATTTCAGCGATTATTAAGCATACACAACGGCACGTTATAACAATACAGTAACTTAAACAAAACACAAACACGGTAATAAACACACAATGACCTAACTAAGCCCAGACACCAAGTAAGCACTGTGAGATGGCTTTTTAATGGTCCTTCTTAGTGGTCCTTCCGAGTTTCTTGGTTAAACTCAGGCACGCATCTAAGTGTGATTTTTTGTTTACCCTGGAGCTTGATGTTATCGTCACCTCAAATCAGGCTTTTGGCTGAACAAGCAGGCCCAACTCAGCTCCCTTTGTTCAACGGCACATGGTCAGACCCCAACAGCGTAATGACAACTTGGCAACTTTATCCCCTTGCAAGTGTAAGAAAAAGGTTGTTCACAGTTTTCTGCTCACAACAACGTTAATTATTCACAACACCACGATCCCAGAGAGTTAAGTACATTGTGAGAAGGAAACAGAAAGCAAGCATTTCCTTCTCTTTCTGCTCCAATTGCAGTTCTTACCAGTCTGAAGTAACTGTACAATTGTAAGTGCAACATCTCTCCGTCTCCCTGATTCCCCCGTGAGATGACTCGTCAAACACATGGGACGGCGCTGCCCCGGCCGGCTCTACTGCGCGAGTCATGGCATATAACAACCAACCTGTACAAGTTCAGTATGACCACCAGGAAGTTCTTGATGGCGAAGAACACCAGCATTTGGTGGAAGACTTTGTAGTAGGTCATGACGATGAGCCTGACCACCAGGAAAGGCCCGTCTTGGATAAACAAGGCCTCCACGATGCTCCAGATGTCCGTGCTGTACTTGGACAACAGGGACACCTCGCTGGCCTCCTGCTCACCCTCATTGTCTGGCTTGGATTTCACCACTTTTAAAAAATGGGGAGACAAACAAAAAAGAGACCTCAGAGTCAAAGTAACAGTCTGTTGTATTGATTTCTTTGTTTAGTTGTTTTAACCTGGATTTACAGTAACCTGCTACTAAATGGTCCTAACTATTCTCAACTGATGTTTCCAGGGTCACGAATGCCTCTCAAACACTCATTGCCAGATTGTTCTTTGCTATTCAATGGCAGACTTTCCAACGCTTTATCCCGGACACTCTGTACCTGTTTACCTGTTTACAAAAGCCAAGGGAAAATCAGAAGTATAGCCATCAAGGGTGGAATTAACAAATTACATTTACTCTTAATAATGGTGTTTTTTGAATATTTATTGAATATTATATTATTTTTTATTTTAAGTATTGTAGCCTGCTTAGTTGCATCAAGTTGCATCCATTACAGAGTACAAAAGTCCCACGAAAAGGTGATGACAGCTCCACAAATTTGACTCTCCGGAAGTGATACATGTTGTAGTTTGAGCTCACTGGCAGAGTGGTGATGCGAGGGGGTTATCGGTTAGTGAATAGTACAAAACATTAACAACAATTTAATCAAACACCAGCGGCGCCTTAAGTGACCAAAATCAAACACGCCCACAATGTCAAGTGACCAGGTGCATGCTGCATGATCTGGCAAACATGCTAAATGCTATAATGCTTAAGGTGGATCCTGCAGGTGACTTTCTGCTGTTAGTGACAATAATCGCTGATGTGACTGCAGAGCTTCATTCAGTCAAAACCGGAACTTTGTCAGTCAAGCGTAGTAAGATGCTGAAAGACATCTGCTAGTTGGGCCGTGCCTGATAATGGCTGATTCCTCTTGTCTTAAGTTCAGATCAGGAGACTTTGTCGGTCCAAAGCTGTTTATGTAATAGATGTGTGAGACTGGATTTCCTCCTGAAGACTTAACATTTATACAAACTCCTAAAATACACTCTTGCTGTTTTTGTGGTAAGTCTTTTTTAAGAAGTACATGTCTGAAAGTAGGGGCATTATCATAGCTCGAGAAGTGAAAATAGATTTTTGGGTTAATAATTTGACAAAGCTGGAGACAGAGGAGCCAAACTGCTTTTCACTGTTACATACAGCACTGGCCTGGACGCTGCTGACTAAACACGTTGTTTGGATTGTCCCACACTGAGAGGAGGTCATGTACAGCAGTGCACGGCTGTAACTGCTTAATAAGCACCAAAGTTATTTGTTTAAGACACAAACATACACTGACCAGACAGATGTAGGGGGAACTGCAGCATGCTCCAAGTCCATACAGCTAAGACGATGTAGACCAGCTGATGATTGTCCTCTCTGGAAAAGACACATAGAAAATACAGTCAAAGTCAGTCTGCTTTTACTACTTCATGCATTGATGTAATGTCATGATTTGGGGACAGATATTATGTAAGCTTGCCTTAAAGTGCTTATGTTCCCTATCTTTGTGTCTATTGTTTGTACATGTGTGTGAACATACTTATATGCAATGCATGATTAGCCACCCACTTGACATCTGACAGCGTCTCACTAGTAAATTCGAGGATGTCTGCTGCAGTGCCAACAAAAATTAGGAGAAGCTGCGAGAGCTCCTCACGCGTGACTCCGCCTCCCAGCGGGAGGAGCCACTTCCCCACGATGAGGAGGAGGAGCAGGGTCTGATGAAGAGCCAGGATCCATTCGTTGGAACAGACAGTCGATAACACCTGGTTAAAATTCTGGAAAAAGATGAGAGATTGAGAGTTATTTCTCTGTCAGAAACTTAATGGTTTGCATCC